CACCTCCTATTGGTGGGTCGCTTGGGTGTGTCAGAATGTTATATTGTCTAGCCTGCAGTGGGGTACTCTATAGCGAGTACAGCCCAATCTAGGGTTTCAAATTTGTACTCAACTGCCTCGCGCGCCCCCGCCCTGTCCGTTGCGTCGCCCTGGGGGACCCGCGCGCAGCCCCCACTGCCCCGTCGGTGGTCGCGTCGCCCCGCCACCCCGTCACGCCGCCCTGGGGAGCCGCGCGCAACCCCTCGCTGCCCCGTCGCCGGTCGTGTCGCCCCGCGGGACCCGCGCGCGATCCCCGTCGACCCTCGCGTCGCCCCCCGGAGACCCGCGAGCCGCCCCTGGAGCCGTGCGCGACCCCCTTCCTGCCCCGTCGCGGCGCCCTGGGGAACTGCGCGCGGCCCCTCGCTGCCCCATGGTGGCGCCCTGGGGGCCGCGCGCCTTCCCCCTCGCCGTCCCCCTCGATCCTACCCTGTTCCGCCCGTTTTAGGGTTTGGGGGTGGGGAGTGTGGGGGTGGCGGTTGTGGGGGTGCCGGTTGTGTGCCCCGTCCCCTCCTCCTCCTCCTCCTTCGTCTCCCGCTGCTGCAGCTGCCGCTCAGGGGGGTGGTTGTGTGGGGAGCCGAAGGAGTGGTGCTAGGGGGGTGAAGGGGGAGTGGAGCTAGGGGCGCAGCAGGGGGTGTGTGTCGAGGGGTGTGGGACTGTTGGGGGAGATTGAGTGGAGGTTGCCGTCGTGTCGTCCGCAGCGCCTGTATTCCGGGGTTCTGATAGCCACCGGTAGCTCAGAGAGCCGGTTGCACCTGTCGCCCGTGGGTCCGTTGCTCCTGTCGCTGCTGATCAGACGCAGAGCCAGTTACTCCTGTATTCCGGGGCACTTGCTCCCGGTAGCCACTAGCGTTGCACCAGAGCCGTCTGTTGCCCGTGTGTCTGCAGCTTCAGTCGTCGCCTCCCATCTACTCTCCTCTCGCCAGCCCTCCTCCTCCTCACTTGCCCTCAGTGACTGCCTCTACCTTTGCTCATAATTTATGAACTATTGCTATTGTGACTGCTTGTTGTGCTGATTACACCCCACTTTGGCTATGGGGGTGTGTCAGAATGTTATATTGTCTAGCCTGCAGTGGGGTACTCTATAGCGAGTACAGCCCAATCTAGGGTTTGCTATTTGTACTCAACTGCCTGCTAGTTCAAACCCTCTTTCTGTTCCTAACTTCTGCCTAACTTGTTTCGTCAGGGTGGTTAACCGCACGAAAAAAATGGTGACCGGGTGGGCGTGCTAGAAACACAGGTTCTTTCAGAGGACAACCTGCAGGCGACCAAGATTTACGTGGTGTGGTTCAATTTCCGACAATTGCGAGTACCACGCGGAACTTCGAGGATGAGTCTTAACGAAGTCGGCGGGGTCGTCGACAGTATCCGTGCCAACAGCGGAGTTGCAGCGGTACTAGATTAAGCGCGCGAAAGAACTCGTCGTTAAAAAAGAGTAGCCGTACAATTTGAAAGTTGTTTGGGGGTACAAGCGACAACACCAGGAGAAAATTTACAACAGGTGGGGGAGGGAGGCGACAAGTGTTTTTCGTCCCTGCCCGAAGGCTCTTCGCGAGTCACGACAACGCCGACAGAAATGATGACGTCATCAGTAGTCCACATTTGACTTTGAAAAAAAAGGCCGGGGGTCAGGGGGAAGAGCAGCATCTGTTTTTCGCCTCTGCCCGGGAGTTTTCGGAAGATCAGGACAAAAGCCTCGACGGGTCACGACAGGGTCGCCGGTGATGCTCATGTTATCGGGACCTGAGTTCGAGTTTCAATTGAGTTTTCAAGATTGACAATCGGTCTGTTACGTGATCCGCCCTTCTCATCGAACGTCATCCTACTTGCCCAAACCAACCCACTTTTGACAGGCCTATTCACCCACGGATACCGCACCGACCCATTTTTCACGACCGGAAATTCACAGCAAATGGCAAAAGCTAAGGGAGTTTATTACGTAAAAACAGGCACCAACCGCATCTGGGTACCCGCGTACTCACTACTGAGGGAGCTGCTACTGCAGGAGGCACACGACGGGATTACCTCGGGACATTTTGGGGTAGAAAAAACGCGACAGCAACTGCAGCGGTACTACTACTGGCCGGAGCTGTTGACCGACGTGCAGCAGCACGTGGGCTCGTGTCCCACGTGTCAGGTGATGAAGAGCTCGAGGAAGCGAAAGACGGGTCAGTTGCAGCCGATACCACCGCCCGAGCGCGCCTGGCAGCAGGTTACCATGGATTTCGTCACAGGGTTACTTTCGAGCCCTGGGGGTAACGACGCGGTAATGGTCGTCGTTGACAGGTTGACAAAAATGACACACTTCGCTGCATGCAAAAAGTCGATCTTAGCCGAGGAGTCCGCTCGCCTGTTCATCGCAGCCGTCGTCTGTTTGCACGGGATACCAGCAGCGATCATCAGTGACAGGGACACGAAGTTCACCAGCAACTTCTGGAAGAACCTTTGGGAGCAGTTCGGGACCAGGCTACAGTTCAGCTCGTCGTACCACCCCGAGACCGACGGTCAAACGGAGCGGACGAATCAGACGATGGAGCAGTTGATTCGTGCCACGTGCGACGATCCCACGACTTGGGAGCAGCAGCTGCCGCTGATCGAGTTCGCGTACAACAACGCCACGTCATCGACCACGCAGCAGTCCCCATTTTACCTGAACTACGGGCAAAATCCAACAGTGCCCATGACGCCGAGTCCGGACAACCCCACGCCACGTGCACAGCAATTCGCCGAAATCTTGCAAGCTGCCCGAACCAGAGTCGCAGAAGCCATTAAAAAGGCAAATGTCATCGCTAAGCGCAACGCTGACCACCACCGCCGCCCCGTGACATACCAGTCAGGAGATTACGTGCTACTCGACACGCAAAATCTGCGACTGCCCGACGTACCAAAACTTCGACCCCGCTACTGTGGCCCATTCCAAATCAGCTACATGATCACACCCGTAACCGCGCATCTACTGTTACCGACCGACTGGTACATCAGCCCATCATTCCACGTCAGCCTGCTTCGCCCATACATCCCAACCACGAGCCAACTGCCTCGTCACCACCCGCATTCCATGACTCGCCCTGCATCGGAGCCGATCATCGAGCCCGACAGAATCCTGAGCCATTGGATCCGCCACCCCACAGGCATCAAGAGGGTTGAAATCCTCGTTCGCTGGAAGGACCGCACGCCAACTGAGGATAGCTGGGTACCCCTTGCCAACATCGAAAACCACCCTGCCCTACAAGTGTACCTGAGGAGCGGGGGATTCCGCGATATACATGCGCTCACGTAGCGGAGGGGGCTTCTTGAGGGGGGGGATAGTGTAAGGAATTTTCTCGCCATTCCTTACAGAGTCCGGCTACACCGCGTACAGCAACAGCCGTTGTTCGCCCGTTACTGCTAACGGGGCTTCGCCAACTTCGCGCGCACTGTTTTGCCAAACCACGCACTGCTGGCCCGGCCGTGTCGGCCTACGCTTCGGGACTAGCCCGAACTTCGCTGCCAGCATCGCACTAGCTAGCTCGCACGCACCGCGTTACCGTTTGCATGTTTCGCGTATAAATGTTCGCTCATGCCTTCGCTCACATGCTTGTACTCGTTTGACACCTTAGTGCAATCCTCGCTACCTCGATCCATTGCACCCGTAACACTTTTATAATATATTAAAGAACATTTTATTTTATAATATTGACACTGTTTCTTTTATATGAGGCTCAGGTGGTGTTATTTAATAAAGCGTGTCTAAGACCAAATTTCCAATACCGACTTTGACTCTCCATCGGCTGATTCGTGCCGAGCTGAGCACGGGTGCAACGTTGATCTCTCAATTCAAGCTCCCATAAACTCACACTGCCATGGCTGACCACGCCCACCACCAGGAGCACTGAATTTCATCATTTGCCTCATCAGGCCAGATTCGTCGGCTCCTCTGGTTGCGTCCCGCCATTGATCGCCTTGGAGTGTGAAATCTGGCCGTCGCATTTCCTGCCCTTTCATCATTGCGATGGGCGGAGCAATTCCACCCTGACCTTAGCTTGACCCTAATTTCGACTTGGCAGACGAATTCTTAGTTGTACCATCAGATAGCGGGACTCTGGGCTGAATGCTGCAGATCAGACTCTCCACGCCCGCAGCTTCCGGCGTATCTTCGCTTGTATTCGTCGTCGACACTCTCTCGCGCGGGGCCGCAGATCGCCTTCTGCCTTCGATCCCGTGCGACGCGTCAGCCTAGAGTGTTGCCATTCTTTCAATCTTCCTAGTCTTTTTCGTGTTCTTTTTCTTTTTTTGATTTCTCTCTTCTCGACGTACGCTACCACGCAGGCTCCTTGATCACGTTCACTAGAATAACAATTCACCGAGTCACTGTACAGTTAACCAGACGAAAGCTTTTATGCCCGCGTTACCTCTTCCTCCATTTCGGACCGAATCTCTCGTTCCTACGAGATCCCTGGCCTCGTTCCGGGAGTTGCCACTCAAACTGATACCCGTTATAGGCAGCACCGCTTGCCATTCAGCACCATCACCTTCCTGTAAATACATTTCCAGTGTCCCCGCTACCAGATCTTCCTGCGCGTCGCGTTATCATGCGAAATCAGCTCGCACGTTACAGGATACTGCTGATGAGCTACCACTAGCGCGCACTACCCAAAGCAGTTACGATTACAATTACAATTACGATTACAATTTCGCTGCTTGCCGCTATCAGGAGGTTGATACGTACTCCTTGGTTCCTAGATCCTGCTCGGCGTCGTTAAACCGAGGAAGTGTAGGATCAGATTTCATCACAGCCGTTGATTTAGGAAATTCCGGCCCCATAGTAGCAACAGCAGCGGCAGCAGTAGGAACATTAGTAGCATCTCTCATTGCTACACCCGCTGCACTGGCATCCTCGTTACTACTCGCCTCGTCTAACCCATCAAGCACTCTAGGACCAGCGTCTGACATGGCAGCAACAGCAGCAGCCGCAGCAACAACAGCAGCAGCGGCAGCAACGGCAGCGGGTGTGGCGTGCGATTCGAGCGCGTGCGCGTGGCATTCCCTAGGCCTGCACGTGCTGTACGAGTCGCTAGGATGGCTCGCCTTCCTCGTGTGGTCGCTCTCTTTTTACCCGCAAGCCCTGCTCAACTGGAAACGCAAGAGGTGCGTGCACTGGTAGTGCGTGCAATAATGGCAGGGGTGCAATGCGGTCAGGTGCGGTTCAAGTTCTTGGCAATCGGAAGGGAAGAGAGATACGTGCAGTGATAGGTGGACTTGAAGGTCATCTCATCTCAAAAAGGCATGCAAGTCGAGCGCGTGCGCGTGGCACTCGCTGGGGCTGCACGTGCTGTACGAGTCGCTGGGATGGCTCGCCTTCCTCGTCTGGTCGCTCTCCTTCTACCCTCAAGCCGTTCTTAACTGGAAACGCAAGAGGTGCGTGCAATGGCAGAAGCAGATCAGTTTTGGGAAGTCGCACGAGACATCGTAGAAGCTTGCCTTTGAGTCGACTCAAAAGAGTTGATTCCTGAGTCGACTCAAAGTCAATGGCAGAAGCAGATAACTTTTGGGACGTCGCATGAGACATCGTAGAAGCTCGCCTTTCTCGCGTGGTTCTTCTCCGTCTACCCGCAGGCCCCGCAGTGTGGGTCTTATGCAGATCAGTTCAGAAGCTTGAGGTGCTGCTGCTGCTGATGCTGCTGCTGCTGCTGCTTCGCTGCTGCTGCTGCTGCTGCTGCTGCTGCTGCTGCTGCTGCTGCTGCTGCTGCTGCTGCTGCTGCTGCTGCTGCTGCTGCTGCTGCTGCTGCTGCTGCTGCTGCTGCTGCTGCTGCTGCTGCTGCTGCTGCTTCTGCTGCTGCTGCTGCTGCTGCTGCTGCTGCTGCTGCTGCTGCTGCTGCTGCTGCTGCTGCTGCTGCTGCTGCTGCTGCTGCTGCTGCTGCTGCTGCTGCTGCTGCTGCTGCCGCTGCTTCTGCTGCTGCTGCTGCTGCTGCTGCTGCTGCTGCTGCTGCTGCTGCTGCTGCTGCTGCTGCTGCTGCTGCTGCTGCTGCTGCTGCTGCTGCTGCTGCTGCTGCTGCTGCTTCTGCTGCTGCTGCTGCTGCTGCTGCTGCTGCTGCTGCTGCTGCTGCTGCTGCTGCTGCTGCTGCTGCTGCTGCTGCTGCTGCTGCTGCTGCTGCTGCTGCTGCTGCTGCTGCTGCTGCTGCTGCTGCTGGTGGTGTTCTTCCTCATGTTCAACCAACCTCCTCGTGCATTCAATCAACCTGCCATGCTCTCTCCCTCTCATGTCAACGCTTTTCCTTTCCACATGATCCCCACTGTCATTGGACTCAACTTTGTCTTCCTGGCCTTCAACCACTTGTATCGCCTCTGACAATGCAATGCTCTCCTCTCCCCCCCCTCCAGTCAAATCCCGCATACACCTCGTCCGTCCCCATCTCCCCTCTCCTCTCGCAGTGTCATCGGGCTTTACTTTGACTCCCTCGTCTCTAACCTCACCAAGCACACGGCCTACCCAGTCATCACACACTGCCATGCTCTCTCCCCCCTTCTTATGTCAATCCCTCTCCTCTCCCATCTCATGTCCCCCTCTCCTCTCCCCTCGCCGCAGCCTCAACTTTGACTTTCTCGTGTTCAACTTCACCAAGCACACCGCCTACCTCGTCGCTGACTGTGCCATCCTTTCTAACCCTCACCTCCACCCCACTCTCCCCTCTCCCCTCGCAGTGTCATCGGGCTCAACTTTGACTTTCTCGTGTTCAACCTCACCAAGCACACGGCGTACCTCGTGTTCAACGCGTCCATGTTCTTCTCGCCCCTCGTGCAGCAGCAGTACCACGAAAAGTACGGCCCAGAGGAGGTGAGAGGCTCACTGCGTGTGTGGGTGGGTGGCGGCTTATCCCGTGCGTGTGACTGAGGGGTGAGGAGCCTCGCAGGCACACGGTGTACCACAGTGCACATGGCGTACCACAGTGCACATGGCGTACCACAGTGCACATGGCGTACCACAGTGCACATGGCGTACCACAGTGCACATGGCGTACCACAGTGCACATGGCGTACCACAGTGCACATGGCGTAACACAGTGCACAAGGCGTACCACAGTGCACATGGCGTACCACAGTGCACATGGCGTACCACAGTGCACATGGCGTACCACAGTGCACATGGCGTACCACAGTGCACATGGCGTACCACAGTGCACATGGCGTACTTGCATGCCATGCCATTGGAGCAGCCCCCCAAGCAGCCATTTCAATGTTCCTTCTCTTCTCTTCTCTTCTCTTCCCACACTTGCCCAACAAGCTTTTGCTTTCCCCAACCCCTGCGCGCTCTCTCCCCCTTGCTATCCCCACTTCCGCCCATGGGCCGTGGCTGGCATGGTAGCTCATCCCGGTGTCCGCCAGTCCCCACTCAAGCCAGCCCTCCGCATCAATTCCATTACAAATCTCTCATCTCTTCTAATCCTTCCCCACATGGCTGGTTTGGCAGCTCATCCTGGTGTCAGCCAGTGACGTGGCGTTCTCAGTTGACTCAAAACATCCCCCCCGCCCCCCCTGCCGCCTCCCTTTCTCTCGCCCCCCCTGTTCTCCCTCCCCTGTGGTTGTGGTGCCAGCTCATCCCAGTGTCAGCCAGTGATTTGACGTTCTCAGTGCATGCGGTTGCACTCACTGCCTCCATATTAATCCCACCACCACTTTCCCATCTCTTCCCCTCCTTCCTGCTGCTACCTGTTGTGGTTGCTGTGCCAGCTCATTCCGGTGTCAGCCAGTGACGTGGCGTTCTCAGTGCATGCCGTCGCCCTCACTGCCTTCACCGTTTGGCAGTGCATGGTGTATGATGTGAGTGCTGGGATGTGATGTGGTGCATGGTGTATGATGTGAGTGCTGGGATGTGATGTGGTGCATGGTGTATGATATGAGTGCTGGGATGTGATGTGGTGCATGGTGTATGATGTGAGTGCTGGGATGTGATGTGGTGCATGGTGTATGATGTGAATGCTGGGATGTGATGTGGTGCATGTTGTATGATGTGAATGCTGGGATGTGATGTGGTGCATGTTGTATGATGTGAATGCTGGGATGTGATGTGGTGCATGGAGTATGATGTGAATGCTGGGATGTGATGTGGTGCATGTTGTATGATGTGAATGCTGGGATGTGATGTGGTGCATGTTGTATGATGTGAATGCTGGGATGTGATGTGGTGCATGGAGTATGTTTGTTGAGATGTCTCAAAACCCAGTGTATGCCGTTGCCCTCACTGCCTTCACTGTGTGGCGTTGCAGTGCAATCTGGTGTGGTGTACAATCCGAGTGATATGATATGATGTGATGCGAGGGGAGGGAGTGCATGATGTGATGCGAGGGGAGGGAGTGCATGATGTGATGCGAGGGGAGGGAGTGCATGATGTGATGCGAGGGGAGGGAGTGCATGATGTGATGCGAGGGGAGGGAGTGCATGATGTGATGCGAGGGGAGGGAGTGCATGATGTGATCATGTGAGTGGTGTGGTGCATGGTGTATGATATGAGTGATGAATGGTTGTACTTCTTACACTGCATTCTTTGAATGAGGGGCCTCTCTTCCCTGTGCTCGCCTCCCCACCATGCCCGTTACCCTACCATGCCCGTTACCCCACCATGCCCGTTACCCCACCATGCCCGTTACCCCACCATGCCCGTTACCCCACCATGCCCGTTACCCCACCATGCCCGTTTCCCCACCATGCCCGTTACCCCACCATGCCCGTTTCCCCACCATGCCCGTTTCCCCACCATGCCCGTTACCCCACCATGCCCGTTTCCCCACCATGCCCGTTTCCCCACCATGCCCGTTTCCCCACCATGCCCGTTTCCCCACCATGCCCGTTTCCCCACCATGCCCGTTACCCCACCATGCCCGTTTCCCCACCATGCCCGTTACCCCACCATGCCTGTTACCCCACCATGCCCGTTTCCCCACCATGCCCGTTACCCCACCATGCCCGTTTCCCCACCATGCCTGTTACCCCACCATGCCCGTTTCCCCACCATGCCCGTTACCCCACCATGCCCGTTTCCCCACCATGCCCGTTTCCCCACCATGCCCGTTACCCCACCATGCCCGTTTCCCCACCATGCCCGTTTCCCCACCATGCCCGTTTCCCCACCATGCCCGTTTCCCCACCATGCCCGTTTCCCCACCATGCCCGTTACCCCACCATGCCCGTTTCCCCACCATGCCCGTTACCCCACCATGCCTGTTACCCCACCATGCCCGTTTCCCCACCATGCCCGTTACCCCACCATGCCCGTTTCCCCACCATGCCTGTTACCCCACCATGCCCGTTTCCCCACCATGCCCGTTACCCCACCATGCCCGTTTCCCCACCATGCCCGTTTCCCCACCATGCCCGTTTCCCCACCATGCCCGTTTCCCCACCATGCCCGTTTCCCCACCATGCCCGTTTCCCCACCATGCCCGTTACCCCACCATGCCCGTTTCCCCACCATGCCCGTTACCCCACCATGCCTGTTACCCCACCATGCCCGTTTCCCCACCATGCCCGTTACCCCACCATGCCCGTTTCCCCACCATGCCTGTTACCCCACCATGCCCGTTTCCCCACCATGCCCGTTACCCCACCATGCCCGTTTCCCCACCATGCCCGTTTCCCCACCATGCCCGTTTCCCCACCATGCCCGTTTCCCCACCATGCCCGTTTCCCCACCATGCCCGTTTCCCCACCATGCCCGTTACCCCACCATGCCCGTTTCCCCACCATGCCCGTTACCCCACCATGCCTGTTACCCCACCATGCCCGTTTCCCCACCATGCCCGTTACCCCACCATGCCCGTTTCCCCACCATGCCTGTTACCCCACCATGCCCGTTTCCCCACCATGCCCGTTACCCCACCATGCCCGTTACCCCACCATGCCTGTTACCCCACCATGCCCGTTTCCCCACCATGCCCGTTACCCCACCATGCCCGTTTCCCCACCATGCCTGTTACCCCACGATGCCCGTTTCCCCACCATGCCCGTTTCCCCACCATGCCCGTTACCCCACCATGCCCGTTTCCCCACCATGCCCGTTACCCCACCATGCCTGTTACCCCACCATGCCCGTTTCCCCACCATGCCCGTTACCCCACCATGCCCGTTTCCCCACCATGCCTGTTACCCCACCATGCCCGTTTCCCCACCATGCCCGTTACCCCACCATGCCCGTTTCCCCACCATGCCCGTTTCCCCACCATGCCCGTTTCCCCACCATGCCCGTTTCCCCACCATGCCCGTTACCCCACCATGCCCGTTTCCCCACCATGCCCGTTACCCCACCATGCCCGTTTCCCCACCATGCCCGTTTCCCCACCATGCCCGTTTCCCCACCATGCCCGTTTCCCCACCATGCCCGTTTCCCCACCATGCCCGTTTCCCCACCATGCCCGTTACCCCACCATGCCCGTTTCCCCACCATGCCCGTTACCCCACCATGCCTGTTACCCCACCATGCCCGTTTCCCCACCATGCCCGTTACCCCACCATGCCCGTTTCCCCACCATGCCTGTTACCCCACCATGCCCGTTTCCCCACCATGCCCGTTACCCCACCATGCCCGTTACCCCACCATGCCCGTTTCCCCACCATGCCCGTTACCCCACCATGCCCGTTTCCCCACCATGCCCGTTACCCCACCATGCCTGTTACCCCACCATGCCCGTTTCCCCACCATGCCCGTTACCCCACCATGCCCGTTTCCCCACCATGCCTGTTACCCCACCATGCCCGTTTCCCCACCATGCCCGTTACCCCACCATGCCCGTTTCCCCACCATGCCCGTTTCCCCACCATGCCCGTTTCCCCACCATGCCCGTTTCCCCACCATGCCCGTTTCCCCACCATGCCCGTTACCCCACCATGCCCGTTTCCCCACCATGCCCGTTACCCCACCATGCCTGTTACCCCACCATGCCCGTTTCCCCACCATGCCCGTTACCCCACCATGCCCGTTTCCCCACCATGCCTGTTACCCCACCATGCCCGTTTCCCCACCATGCCCGTTACCCCACCATGCCCGTTTCCCCACCATGCCCGTTTCCCCACCATGCCCGTTTCCCCACCATGCCCGTTTCCCCACCATGCCCGTTTCCCCACCATGCCCGTTTCCCCACCATGCCCGTTACCCCACCATGCCCGTTTCCCCACCATGCCCGTTACCCCACCATGCCTGTTACCCCACCATGCCCGTTTCCCCACCATGCCCGTTACCCCACCATGCCCGTTTCCCCACCATGCCTGTTACCCCACCATGCCCGTTTCCCCACCATGCCCGTTACCCCACCATGCCCGTTTCCCCACCATGCCCGTTTCCCCACCATGCCCGTTTCCCCACCATGCCCGTTTCCCCACCATGCCCGTTTCCCCACCATGCCCGTTTCCCCACCATGCCCGTTACCCCACCATGCCCGTTTCCCCACCATGCCCGTTACCCCACCATGCCTGTTACCCCACCATGCCCGTTTCCCCACCATGCCCGTTACCCCACCATGCCCGTTTCCCCACCATGCCTGTTACCCCACCATGCCCGTTTCCCCACCATGCCCGTTACCCCACCATGCCCGTTACCCCACCATGCCTGTTACCCCACCATGCCCGTTTCCCCACCATGCCCGTTACCCCACCATGCCCGTTTCCCCACCATGCCTGTTACCCCACCATGCCCGTTTCCCCACCATGCCCGTTTCCCCACCATGCCCGTTACCCCACCATGCCCGTTTCCCCACCATGCCCGTTACCCCACCATGCCTGTTACCCCACCATGCCCGTTTCCCCACCATGCCCGTTACCCCACCATGCCCGTTTCCCCACCATGCCTGTTACCCCACCATGCCCGTTTCCCCACCATGCCCGTTACCCCACCATGCCCGTTTCCCCACCATGCCCGTTTCCCCACCATGCCCGTTACCCCACCATGCCCGTTTCCCCACCATGCCTGTTTCCCCACCATGCCCGTTACCCCACCATGCCCGTTTCCCCACCATGCCTGTTACCCCACCATGCCCGTTTCCCCACCATGCCCGTTACCCCACCATGCCCGTTTCCCCACCATGCCCGTTTCCCCACCATGCCCGTTTCCCCACCATGCCCGTTTCCCCACCATGCCCGTTTCCCCACCATGCCCGTTACCCCACCATGCCCGTTTCCCCACCATGCCCGTTACCCCACCATGCCTGTTACCCCACCATGCCCGTTTCCCCACCATGCCCGTTACCCCACCATGCCCGTTTCCCCACCATGCCTGTTACCCCACCATGCCCGTTTCCCCACCATGCCCGTTACCCCACCATGCCCGTTTCCCCACCATGCCCGTTTCCCCACCATGCCCGTTTCCCCACCATGCCCGTTTCCCCACCATGCCCGTTTCCCCACCATGCCCGTTTCCCCACCATGCCCGTTACCCCACCATGCCCGTTTCCCCACCATGCCCGTTACCCCACCATGCCTGTTACCCCACCATGCCCGTTTCCCCACCATGCCCGTTACCCCACCATGCCCGTTTCCCCACCATGCCTGTTACCCCACCATGCCCGTTTCCCCACCATGCCCGTTACCCCACCATGCCCGTTTCCCCACCATGCCCGTTTCCCCACCATGCCCGTTTCCCCACCATGCCCGTTTCCCCACCATGCCCGTTTCCCCACCATGCCCGTTTCCCCACCATGCCCGTTACCCCACCATGCCCGTTTCCCCACCATGCCCGTTACCCCACCATGCCTGTTACCCCACCATGCCCGTTTCCCCACCATGCCCGTTACCCCACCATGCCCGTTTCCCCACCATGCCTGTTACCCCACCAT